ATATATATATATATATGAAAAGCATCTCTGCATCAATCTCTTTCTCCTGATTTATGTCTGTATACTTCTAACATGTCTTTCTATCTGCCTATCTACATATAAGAAATTCTAACAGATAGACTTGGACATATCTCATTGTCGCTCTGCTCTTGTTTTCTCTTCCTGTATTGCTTAGAGCATTGCCCCATCTATGATTGAATATGGGGATATATATAGACCATATACATATATATATATATAGAATGCATACATGTGGCAGCGGATCAGTTTCAGAGCATGTCCAGTTTGTGTGCCATGGGCCAGTGGACCAGTGCCAGAACATGTTCAGTCGGTGTGCATGAATCTGTGCAGTGCTGACTTGAATATGTATTAGCAGCCAGCTGTTGCACCGTCATATATTGCAGGAGGCCTCGCGAGAAACAAGCTCCTCAAGGACTTTATCGAGAAGTGCTACCAACCTGGCAATGTTCAGGGCAATGTTGTTTTTCAGCTGCATATGAGTGAGTTGTTCTGCATGGTTCAATTGTGATGCAGCTGGTGATTTGTTAGTCAGCTGTGCTGCAGGCTCGCCTGGAAGCTGTGTTCAAGATCCGCCAGATCAGCAAAGACTGGCGCAACACTATTAAGGGCTTCGAATGGTTGACAGCAGATGAGATGAAGAAGCTGGGTTGGCCGGAGTGTCTTGGGTGCACATGATACTTTGATGTAAGTGATCAGTACGATTATGGTGTGGATTCAAGTTGGTGCTGCCCCTGCTGCACGAAAATTAAGAGAATCTCTCTCTCTCTCTCTCGATAAATATATATATATATATATGTATATATACAAACGAATACATAAACAAAAAAAAATATATATATATATATATATGTGTGTGTGTGTGTGAGAGAGAGAGAGAGGGCTGTCCTGCACCTAGATATAACAGGGGAAATGTATATATATATATATGTAGCTGTATACATATGCATTCACGGACATCAAATGCATCTACACAAGTACGTCTATATCTTTATTCATGAATGACATGAGCAAGCCTTGAAACTGGTTGATGGCAGGGTGGTGGCTATTGCTGCACATGGCTGTATCTCTAAATGACCTCAGACCCATTATGGCTTATGTGCACATGCAGACACACTCATGCCCATGCCATATGCTTCCTCACTGGTTGCATATCTCCCTGCATGATTTGGTCTTTCCTTGTAGTGTGTATCTATACATGTATATATGTACACATGCACATATTTGCAAATGTGCATATTCTGTATTCTATCTAGGTGTATTCTCTGGGCAGAGATGTTCAGCTGTTGTCGTTCTTCATGCAGCAGGTACACGTGTCCATATATAGACATACAGACAAAGAAGACTTGTAAATAGAATCGGGCATCGAATTCTATCTTGCTGCAGCCTGCCTTTCTAAGGAAGAAAGTGCTCGGAGCAATCAGCCACTGCGAGAAGAAGAAGTTGTATAAGAAGTGCCCCTATGAGGGCACTCGAAAGTATCTGGTCCAAGTTTCGGACCGGGTGGAGTATCTGAGCTGCATCTCGAATCCATGTGCCAACTTCATGCATTGATGGCTGTGCCAGAAGCTATCTTAGCATGGGCGCATGTGGGTGCAGAGGGTTGATGCACCGGTTCATTTTGGTAAGTGAAATCCCGACAAGGCACGGCTCAGAACGACTTCGTGAACTGGAGGAAATGATGGAAGATTGTGGTGCCTTGTTCGCTTTATGCTGCTGATTGTCCAATTGGTCTTCTGTTAAGTTGGTTTGGTGCTAGGCACGTTCAACGAGAACTTCGACATGTCCCTTGGTATCGGTGACTTGCTCGAGGAAGACGACGAGCAGTCAGCTGATCCCGGATCTAAGAAGCCAAAGCCGACTGGATCTTTGCCACGTTTGGAAGGGGAAGAAAGTGTCACTGATTATTTAAGCAAATTCAAAAAAGCATGTCTCAGCATAAAGAAAGAGCACCGTGACGTGCTCGACAAGTTGGTGGATGACAAGGTGTCGGGCCACGAGCTGCTAATCTGCATTGATTGCTGCATATCCTATAGATGCATGTTATTTGTGTATACAGACCTTTGACTAGATATATGAATACCAAAAAATATATATATATATATATACATACACATACATATGTATATATATATATATACATGCATATATATATATATATGGGCATGCAAGAGTCTGTACTATATTGAACACATATATATACATGTATTTGTACCCATATGTCTATATATATATATATACCTGAACATATATATATATATATCATGCCATGTCCAGTGGTTTCTCTCTGTCTGTCTATTTCTGTGATTCCTGCTCGTGGCATGTCATATGGTGACTGAATTATCTATAATATCCAAGGACAGATTTGAGACGGCTTGAAAGTGACATGAGCTGCTTGGTCTGTCTTAGCATACATGACTGTGTTTTATTCATGTCTGCACTCCATGTCATGTATGGATTGAAATACCAAGATGCCCTGAATGCCCTCTACCAGAAACTCTGTGACGAGGAGCTGTCGCGCAAGGATGCGCCATTTGGCAATAAATGAACGTTCATGCCCTGCCTCCATCCGAGTCTCATTGGTATGCTTTTGCATGATGCCTATATAAGGTCCAAGAAAGACTTCAATGACATCACGGACAAGGTCAAGGATGCCCTGCTTCGTTTCACGAACAGCTTGAATGCATGCAAGCCTGGAGCTTAGAACCTTCAGAACCTGGGTGAACATGTATTCGGTGTATGGCTATGTGGATGGTTTGGTGTTCATGTGCTGCTAATTCTGTATGTGTTCGACTGCCGGAGACTGAGACTGTTGGTATGTGTCTGCATATATGGGTGTGTACTAGCATGTGTAGATGGGTGTGTATATATATATATATATGTAGTGATAATGTCCAAACATGACTGAGTGCATCAGGGCATGGATCATACACAGTGCTTTGGAGCATGTGTGCATAATGCTGTTTCAGTTGAGTCTTATGTCAAGCCACTTGAATGACTCGTTTGAACTATTATAAATAAATACGTGCATACATATATATATATATAGATACATACAGTCATCTGGATGAAAGCTTCTATCTTGTGGTCATAGTTTCTTGTCTTGGCACTTTGTGTGGAGGCAGTAAATGTCTGCTGCATGTTGTAAAATACTTGTATATTTCCTACAATCGGTGTTCCAACCCAGAAGGACCGAAAGGATACAAGTCAATGTGAATAACTATGCAAACAGAGTGAGAGAGCTCCAACTTATGTGGAACAAGCTGCAGCTCAATGATGCTTCTGGTGAGGTCCTACCTCCGCAAGGCTGCCAACCCGAAGGCCAAGGGTAAGGCCAAGGCGAAGGGCATGGTGGCGAAGCAAGAGGATCCTGAAGGAGAGTTGCAAGATGGATGATAGCTTTGGCTAGATTTTTGAAGTGTTCTGTGCATGAAGCTGCCAGAGCCGACTTCCCAGTTCTGCAGGCCCCATGGTTATTTAGGTTGCCACAAACATGTAAATGCTCCGGTCTTTGCAAGATACAGTACAGTGTTGCTTTCGTGGGCATGCACTTTCTCAAGAGCATCAGTCCCCGTCAGCAGTGTGGCATGTCGCTGTGGCTGATGGATGCGAAAAAGAATGCCGTCAGAGCTGTTGACTTTGCACACATGCATAGCCCTTGCAAGGAACATGACAGGATATGTATATATATATATATATGTATATATTCAGTGTACATGTATGTATACAAAATACGAAATTAAATAGAACCGTCCATGCTGGTATAGTGCGCGTATCAATATACACTTGTGCTGTCTACCTTTCCTGCATGTGTGCATGTTCACAATGCGTGTGTTCATATATATGTATATGTATGTATGAGTGTATGTATATATATATATATACATGTACATCTATGTATCATGGGGTGTATGTATGCATGCTTGTCTATATACATATATGTGAGTATATGTTAACTACATGTATGTGTACTGGTGTATCAATAGATAAGTTCATATGCTTATAAGTTTACAGGCTCATGCATATTCAGAAGTGTACATGCCTGTGTGTATATATATATATGTATATGACAATATACATGTATGTGTGCATGCATCTTGTAGGCATGCATGAATGCATGAATGCAGTCGTTCACACATTTAATTGTGTGTTTATATGAATACATGTTGTAGAATTATTGATAAATGCATGCTTGTATATAAGCATGTTATATATATATGCTTTGGTATGTATATGGATGCATGTATACTGTCTGCTGCAAAACATGATAGTCTAAGCTCGACCTTAAAGGAAATAACGAACATGTTGGCATGCATGCATGTCGACAGTCCCCTCGCGCAGGTGTTCGGGTCGTTGAGAATGTCCTGAAGACCTACATCGCCCTTCGGTTTTACATGTTGGGACAAGCAACATCTGAGAGTGCATGTCTAAAAAATTTGCTGTCTAACCCAGATGCTGGATTAAGGACCACAATGCTGCTGCAGCTTCCACCATCGCATTCGATAATGCGCAGACAGTGGAAGAAGGGGATCCATGGAAGAGCACATTTGTCCAGTTGGGATTGGCGCACAATTCCACGAGTGACAAGGAGAGTGTGTTTCTGGGCAATGTGCAGGCCCTCGGCTTCATGCTACAATGCCCGGTGAGCATGAAGACTGTGCAATTCCCAACGGGCCCGAAAGCTCACCCTGTTCTTTCGATGAAAGCTTTGGCGACAGAGATTTTGCGAGACTATCCGAGATTGCTCTTTTTTGGCCATGAATATACAGATTTGAAGCGAGTTGAAAATACATTGGCAGACTTCTGGGAACGCTTCCGTCACACGTGGCCTGACCATGATATTTATATTACTCACCACAACAACTTGTCGCGATGCATTCCAATCAGAGTACATGCCGATGAAGGAACATCTTTCCGGCGAGCTGCAATTTATCAGCAGAGTTGGGGCCCCGTTCTGAAAGCAGGGGCAGCGAGTTTTTTGCATTGCTTCTTTTACACGGCAATGTTGGCTGATGAGTACAAGGCTGCACAGGGTTTGGCTGAATTGCATATCATGACTTGACGGTTGCTCTTGCCATGAAGAATTATCCGTTAAATGTTTGTATAGTGTAGGCATCTATATAAATAGAATATATAACTTGTATGTGTCTGTGTTTGCTCCTTGGTTGCATCAGGACGACAATGCTGGGTATGCTGCAGGCAACAAAACGTTGGACAGCCTGATGAAGCACTTCGTGCAAGATGCCAAGGAATGCTACATGAATGGTGTCCCTTCAAGAAATGGGAAGTTCTTCCTGGTGTTAATCCGTTTGGAAGGAGATCTGCCGGCGCAGGGCAAGCTAACCCATTCAGCTCGCAACTATACCAATGATCCGAACCCCATGTGCCCATGGTGTTTGGCGGATGGCAAGGAGGTACCATTCGGGGATTTCCGCAGGACTGCGAGATGGCGAGAAACTCTTGATTGCGAGCCTCCGTGGGGGTCATCGAGTCCTCTGCATGATCTGCCAGGAGGTGAAGATGTAAGGTTTATATCCAGGGATTTGTTCCATATCTCCCATCTGGGTATAGCCCGGACGTGCGTTGCATCTGTGATATGCTACCTGGTTGCAATGGGGCATTTCCAGCCACGTGACAGTGGTACATCGGTGCCGGCATGCTTGCAGGAGGCATACAAGGACTTCGCCCACTTTTGCAAATGGGTCCTGGGCGAAACACCGGATATCAAAACTTTCTCAAGGGCGAATCTGCAGTGGACTTCTTTGGCCAAAATGCCTGAGAGTTCGATGATGCTTGGAAGTGTAAATTTTTAAAAGCAGATAAGATGTCTTGTTCTGTATATAGCATGTGAGGATATGTATACAAATAGATGTGGGTGGGCTTGCTTTCTGCTGAGGAAAGGCTCGGATGTGCGTCTGGTGACAAGATGGTTGGCTGACTACCTGTGCAGGCCCTGGCTTTTGGATGCTACCCTCGAGAATGTGTACCGTGCAGTCACAGCATTGGATGATTTCCACCGGCTCTGTTATGTGGACACTGACAGAGTCTGGATGAATGCTGTGCAGATGCGCCAAGCTCGGAGGCATGCAGGCATATTCTTGTCTGCGTATGCGACGGCAGCTGGGACGTGCCATTCTGAAGGCAAGCTCTTCTTTAATATCACACCGAAATATCATTACTTCCTCCACATCGAGCATGAATTGCGGATATCAATGGGCCAGGAATGGGGCTTTAATCCTGCGTGCTGGGCAACGCAGATGGACGAGGACTACATGGGTGTCTCCAGTCGGATGAGCCGTGCTACTCACCCCTTAGGTGCTGCCAAAAGAACTGCGCAGAGGTGGCTTATCCACTCGTGGTTGAAGTGGAAAGACTGGAAGTTTCACATGTGATCAACAACAGGAGTGCCGACCTGAGAAAATATGGTGGGCCGAGTGTTCCTTTCTGCAGGTGGACAATATATGGCAATCTTTGTCTTTGCACTCATGATATATATATATATATGTTACTATATACCTATACAAAGATACATATACATATAATATATACATATATATATATATACATATACACATACATATACATGTACCATACAAGTATATACATATATGTGTCTACATAGCATGCATATGGACACCCCCTATTTTTGCACATGAGAACTTGTAGTTCAAGACAAACTGTAGTTCGATACGACAAGGACACATCAAACATGCATTTGTTTGTGCAAAGATCCTTGAGTGATCACGCAACACCCAGTACAGAGTGCAATCCCATCTAAATGACCTGTTTGTGTAATTTCGTAGTTTTACAACGAAAACAAAAGACAACAGAAAAAAACATAAAAATGTAGAAACCATAAAAATCTGGTTTCTATGAGAAAACCAAAATAAACCCATACAAACCAATGTCTAGGTAGTGGCTTGAAATATTAGATTGTATAGGGCCTTGTGTATACAACATACTTTGACTATGTATAGGCCTTGGAGACAAACCTATATTGTGCAGCATCTCTGCCTCGTGCTTTCGAGCGCTTTGATGCGGTGGAGTTCCGCGACGTGGGCCGTTCAGAACCTTCAGGCAAACATTACAGGAGATAACGCTTAAACGGTATATTACATAGCGATGTTGGTTTTTGGGGTTTCGAGTTTATAGGGTATACTCCTTAATTAACGGGTTTTGGGGCGGCTGGGAAAGAATATTACGTAGGGCTCATAGGATTTTAACAGGTCTGTCGGGTTTTATAAGGATTCTACAGCAAAGTTTCTCCGGATTTTAAAGACATGTTTGACGGTTTCGGCACTCACACTCGGACAAGCCAGGCGAGGTTATTGGTGCGTGGTCGGTGGAGGTGAACCACAGAACGCACCTAGTATTCAAGCACTAAACAATCTACTCAGTACAGCCGCGCTAGGATACAGTGCAGGGTCTTGGGATTACGGCTTCTCCTGTTTGGCATGCAAGACGAGGCTGAAGGGATTCATGACCTCCGACAAAGAGGCCTAAGCCAGACTCTGCGAATGACCTTCTTCGGCACCTGAACCAACTCTGGGTCGGGTCTCAGACATCTATGTCCAGTGCCCATTGGAAGTGCTAGATATTCCGCCGGACAAAAAACTGGCCGCATGTCTTCTGGCGGAACTTTTCCCTGCTGCGGAGCATGCTAATAGGAAGTGGAAGAGGGGCTCCCTTCCGCTCTTCCCACTTCTCCAGCTCCTTTGCGCCGCGGACGCGGTTCCTCGTCACCTCGCCCCAATTGAAGGTGCCCAGCGCGAAACAGAGGCCGGCGGTTTCTAGGCGCTCCTTCACGTTCGAGGTGATGGATTGTCCCAGCCTGGGATGGACAATGACTCCCTGAATCCGGTGTTCTGAGAGCGCCTTTTGCAATGCCTGGGCCTGCACCAGTTGCGAGAAGTCACCCATTCACCACGCCTTTCCATTACAGGGGGAGCTTGTAGCGACGGGGGTTCGGCGAACAGGCTTGAGCCAAAATGGCTGGTCGGGTTCGGGGCTTCAGGGCCTCCGGCAAAGAAAGGTCTTTGAGTGACTCACTGGCTTCAAATTGGTATTATCGAGGTCATAAGCTGAAACGATTCAGGCCGTTCAGGGTTTCTCAGGATGCTGGTCTGTTGCTGTTTCAACATTCAGGGCACTGTGCTTAAAGTTTGGGGTTCTTATTCCTAGCACAGCGACGGCGATGCCTCGAATCTAAACGAGAAGAACAGTGGATGGATGGTTCATGCCCACAGCTCCGAAGAACAACCTGAAGTACTGTTAACACAATGTTGCTCTTTCGCCTGGTTGAAACAATTGACTCAACCGTTTGAATTTTGTTAAGGCCCAGACTACACTTGTCAAGAAGCTCTCAGCTTCAGAATACAGCTGCCAACACGGGTCTTTTGGGGGTCCAGGGTTTATAAACATGTTGAGGGGTATGTTGGGCAGAGAGATACCCACTAAAATCACTAAAACTCTTCACCTCAACCCTGGAAGCGTGCATCGTCTGTTGTGGCTGGAGGTTCAGAGACCCGAAAACGTGACCTTTTGCTGCGGCGGACGTGCAACTTCCAAATGCTCCTGAACAGCTTGGCAATCGCCGCCAGACCGCCCGGGACCACAGCAAACCTGAGGAAACTCTGAGTAATGCTAAAGTGATGGGCCATTGGTGTTTATAGTGGTATAAACCCAACTTCAACCGAAGGGCGATGGAGCCGTCCTCCTGGATCACTGCGAAAGCTTCAGACGTTGCCTGGATCGCTCGTGCGCGCTTGCCCTCCCGAGAACTGTCGAGCCGCGCCTGCTTTCGGAGCGTGGGCTCCGGGAGGTCAGAGACCATACTATAGGGGCCTTAATAATTAGAATAGGGTGTGTGGGTCTATGATACTAAAACTATAATAGGGAACCCCCAAAACCCTATTCTAACTATTCAGGCCCGTACAT